AAATGTCATGAGGGTGTTTCCAGAAAGGTTGAGTTGAGAAGGGAAGCTTTGCTCTGAACGAGGGCAGCAGCATTCTGTGTGCTAGATAAAAGGGAGGAAGTCACCCAAGTATTATCATTCATCCCTGTTTCTTGACTTTGGACACAATATGAGCTGCCACCTCACACTGCACTATATGCCTGCCTGGTTATGATGGACTGTAGAGTCACACTGTGAGCCAAACCCAATTATCCCATAAGTTGCTTTTGCCATATACTTTGTTACAGTGACAAGAAAAGTAGGTATTCCAGAGAGACAACTCAGTGTGTCAAGCATACCAGCAACCCTGGTTTATCACCATCATCAGGGACATGTCAGAGATCATCCCTTGGTTCAATTGCTGGCCATGTACAGGCAAAATTTGAAACTAGTCACCACAACCTGCTAACTTTCTTTGAGATACTCACTCTTAACTTCTGTAGAAGAAGAGAGGAATTATTTTAAGATGGTGGTGATGTTGGCTTTGATAAACGAGAACTTATAGATGCTCCATGAATTCAGACCATTTCTGCACAGCAGATGGGCAACCCTATATAGTGTGCACCAGCCATGCAATGCATTGCAGAAGCTCAGATCTCAGAGTCAAGAGTTGGTTAGTCAGAGACCATTTCAGATGTTATATACCATGGCCTATAAATAGAAACAGTCCTCTGTCCTGGGAAAGAGTATTAATGGGGCATTGTCCTGAAGGACTCAGGTTCACCCTGTAGTTAATGATGAAACAGAAACAGGGGGGAGCCTCCCCATCTTGGAGTGCCATTACATTGGACCTGAGGGCTTTCCTGGTACTCTCTGTGGGTCCACCTGTCCTCACCAGCTGGAGGACTTCTGACTCGATGATATGCTCCTGGCTAATGAACTGGCATGAGTTAGATTGAGTGCTACTATTGTAAATGTACCTTAAGGCCTGACGGGTTGCTGCAGAGTGTAATTCACATACTGGAGTCTGCTCTTCAGTAGTGAATATTTAGTCACAGCCAGCTTCCGGACACCTTACTACACTCTGGCTTTCGCAGTAACCTAACTTGATGTTCCTGCATGGAAGGGCATTTGTACTCTTGATTTCTTCTTTGGTAGTTGATATGACTGACCAAAAATTGCAAAAAGGCCCTCCAACTATCCTGAGACATTAGCTAGAAAAATATCCCACGCTAGCTTCAGAATCTCCCTCCTCCTTCTGTTTTCCTTTCCTCTCGACTTTCTGTCCTAAAGCCGCCACTGTTTCTGGTGTCTCTTTCCTTTCTATTGTTCCTGGAGTCAGGTGACCTGATTTCTAGACCTGTTTCTAAAAATATGATCTCAGACCAATTGCTTAAATTGGTAAGGCTTAGTTTCATTTTTGTAATAACTGGAATTAATAATACCTATCTTGTCTATTTCTCCAAAGTGGTTATAAATAATATTGAATGAAGTGACAGATTTAAAACTCTTTGGAGAATGTTGGAGTCTTAAATTTACTTTTAGTGATTTTATACGATGGCACATTTGATTGGTGTGGGGCAAAGGGGGTGGCATGTGCCAGTGAGAACGTGAGAAGGTTAGAGGACAACATTCTGAAAGTTGTTTTTAATCTTCCACCATGAGGTCAGGGATCGAATGTAGGTTGGTGGCTTTGCATGATAAGTGATTTTCCCCACTGAGCCATCTTGCTGGTCTGAAAGTGATGTAGTTTTATTCCCATCTAAAATGTTAATATTTCACTACTTAATCTGGGTCATATTAATTATAGCTTTGGTAAATTGCTTTTGCACATAAAATGAAAATTTAATAATCTTTCTGTCATGCAAGGGAAAGGATAAAGTTTATTACTTACAGTGAATACACTGAGGATTAGAAATACTTAGTCACCTCCCAAAATTTATATTGTTTGAATGCTAGAACCTGAAACTGGAATTCGAAATGCTAAGTTGACATTTTATGTAATTAATATGCACTGAGTAGAATCTTGCAGGGAGTTTTTTAGGTTCCTAGAGCCTTTTGTTCCCTTCCTCTTTGACACGCCAGGTGACAGCTGCTCTACACAGGCTTGTTTGTTCTCTGTGTTCGCATCATTTAGTGTGGATTGTATAGTATTAACGTTAAAAACTAGGAAAGAATACCTGAGTTTCAGAGCAGAACTGTCTGTTGTACTGCCAAAGTTCTGATTTTGTAAAATAATTGTTTTCTGAGAATATGATTACATGGGTACATAATTACATTATTCTCTTCTTCCCTTTCATCCTTCCAACTTACTTTCATGGATCTCCTTGCTCTCTCTCAAACTTATAGCCTCTTTTACAAAATTTGCTGTTATACACATGCATGCATGTGTATAAATACATAAATACAACCTTCTCAGTCTGTAATAATGTTACTATCATGAATAGGACTGACCACTTGGTATTGTATAACCAGTTTGAGGGCCCTTCCATGGGGAACCCTGTTTCTCCTGTTCCAGAATTCTTGCTTGCCTAGTGTAGTTCTTTGTCTGCAGTTTGGCCCTATGACATTTCCCCCTCCATGCTACCATGGATATTGGTGTTGACCTTGTTCAGGTCATGTTTAGGCAGCCATGTTGGTGAGACTTTATGAGTGTAGCTTCTCACATTTCTAAGAGACACAAGCTCACAGCTATCTTCCTATTCTTCTGGCTCTTAACAGTCTTTTGGTCCCCTTTCCACACAAAGATATCTGAACCTTAGGTGTAGGAATTGTGTTGTGGATTTAACAGTCGGGACCAATGAAAATGCAGGGCTGTGGGGCCCCGCATTTTGGTTGGTTGTAGTGTTTGTTTGTTTGTTTGTTTTGTTTTTCCAAGACAGGAGTTTGCTGTCCTGGAATTCAGTCTATAGACCAGGATGGCCTTGAACTCAGAGATCAGATTGCCTCTGCCTTCTAAGTGCTGGGATCTAAGGTGTGCACCACCACTGCCCAGCTGGTGCTCCCCCACCCCCCCTTTTGTCTGTTGGCCAAAGTGATGTTTCTCTGATGATGGGTAAGATCTACACTTATCTGTGGTAAAGTTAAAGTTTTGGTCCAGTGACCCTGCTGCCATCAAATTCAGTTTTGCTTTGAAGATGAGGATGGTAGCTGGGATGTCATGGGATGGGGAGGACTGAACGTGCTCGTGCATACTGTGTATCCAGCAATGGCCTCACTCCTGATGGCTTTCTTAGCAGATGTTAGTGGGTCCTTTGCCTTGTCCACTTTCCCTTTGCAGTTTCATATTGACGAGGCAGCTGTGTGCTGTGTGAATTCAACTTCACTTTCTCCATAAAGTTTTAATATCATGAATACTGTTTAAATAAAAGAAGATAAATAGTTACTGGAAATGTGCTCTGTGTAATGTTTTGATAGGAAAACTTATCAATCTTATATCATGCCCACAGTAACTCTGACCAGTTGACATGACTATCTATGTTTAGAATTTGAAAGATTGTTCTGAATTATTGAGAGATTAGGTGAAACCAACTGTGATGTTGAGATGGTATTCTGGAAGGATGAGCCTGTCCACTTAGCTATTCTATTTTGTGAAATTCCACGGGCGAAAGAGGAAAAATATATTTTTGGAGATTTCTGGGACCAAGAATCAGTGTGCTATTGAAGAAGAAAAATATCTTAAATTTAGAAGTCAGTCAGCAGAGGGGCTGGAGCCATGGCTCAGTGGTTAAGAGGGCTTGCAGTAGATTGGAGTTCAGTTCTGAATTCCCTCGTTGGGTAGTCCAAAGCCTGCCTGTAACTAGCTCCAGTGTATCCAGTGCCATCTGTGGCCCTGTTGGTGCACACACACACACACACACACACACACACACACACACACACACACACACACACACACGAGTTCACTGACAGACAGACACACAACAAGCACATAAACACATAAAAAATAAAATAACAACTCATGAGAGAGGAGCATGCTGTTAAGATACAGGCCTTTCCTCCTAACCCCTGTTCTATCTAGAAATTATTTCTAACTAATTTCTAGTTCTGCATCCTGGAGACATATGACTCAGACTTAGAATACAGCTCTTGACATCCTGTGTCCTCCAATCCTGCTTCAGTTTTGCCTGCATAGGACGTTGCCCAGGATCTCCAAGTTATGACATTTTAGGAATAAAAAACATTTATTGTGACCATTCTGTGCCTTTTAAGAGGTTTTTTGTTTTCCTCTCCTGAAAAGGCTGGAAAGGTAGCTTGGTTGATATGCTGCTACTCACCTCAAATACACAAGGCCCTGGGTTTCATTCGTAATATCCCATAAATCTGGGCATGCTGGTGGACACCTATAATCCCAGCATTTAGGAAGTACAGTCATGGGTGGGGAAAGGTCCAGAGGTCCAGGGCTGTCTTTGGTCACAACAGTGAATTTGAGGCCAGCCTGGCTTCATGAGAACCTGTCTCAAAAACACCAAAAAGAGCAGCCAGTTCAGATACATGAAGATCTTGCCCGAAGCTTCCAGAACTCATATTGCCCACACAACCCACTGCTTTGTTGTACTTTCCACAAAAGGCTCAGCCGATAATCCAGTAAACACAATTCCTCCATGAGCCCGTTGGTTTCTTCAGTCGGTCACTATCCCATCTTTAACCAAAACCTGAACCTTTATTATTTTCTCCCCTAGTCTTTTTGGCAGTGGGAGTGTGGTCTAGTTCTTTATTCCTTTGAGACCTGGTTAGGAAGTGACTTCATCTAAGTAGCCCTGGAATCCAGTCTTCTAATGGCAGAGAAATTAGGGGAGATTTGAGACAGGAGAGTTGATGGGGCTATGTGGCCTTGAGTAGGTTAGGTAACCATTTGGGTCCCAGTTGCTTTCTTTCTGAGTGAGGCGTTAGATATATGCATGATTAGGTGTTAGGGATCATGAGGTATATGATCTAAAAGGTTCCTTTTAGTTTAAGACTTCTGTGCTTTTACACAGTAAGCCTATGTCTATCAGCTCTGCACTGTGGCTAAAAGATCATTCATTCATTGCAGTGTTTTTGGATGGTGCTGTGTCTGAGGACTCCAGCTGCTCTGATGATAGCCTAAGAAGACTGCATGCTGTTCCCTCCCAGCGCCAAGCCAGGCCCATTCCGAACCTTGGATCTCAGTCCTTCATGGAGACCAGCTCCCAGCAGGAAATTGGCACCCAGATGGTTCCTCCATGTGAAGTTGTCTCTGGCTGTGGGCTGACTAGAGGACACCTGGTGGCCAGGCCAGCCCTTTCTCAGTCATCCAGGACAGGGCAGCATGGTGCGGATTCAGAGGAGGAAGCTTGTGGCATCTTGCCTGTGCATGACAGCTACTGTCTTTCTGATGGTCACCCTGCAGGTACTGGGAATCTGGGCTGTGTAGAGCAGATTCATTGCTAGGCCCTCACCATCTCCTTCCTCCCCAGATCCCCTTTCCTCTGAGAAATCTGAGTAATTGATGTCTGCTTAACTTTTCAGCATCATGAGCCCATGCTACACAATACAAAGGAGGACACCCTAATTCTATTTCTTCCAGCATGATCTGGAAGATACTTCTGCTTCTGATTCCAAGTGTCTGGATTAAAGGAAGGAGCCCCCATGCCCATTTAGGAGAACATTTTCTTTTTAGCATCCTCTCATGTTGCCCAGGCAGGCCTCAGGTTTGACACATACTCAAAGATAACCTTGAGCATATGATCTCTCTGCCTCTAACCTCCCAAGTGTTGTGACTATAATCATGTTACCCCATTTAGTCATTTAACAATTTTATTTAAAAATTGCCCTCATATAGTATATTTTGATCATGTTTTTCCTCTCCTCTGTCCTCTCCAATCTTCCCACCTCCCTAACCCATCCAACCTTATGGTCTGTCTCTCAAAAAAAGCACAAAAACACAAAAACTAAAATAAAAAAGAAACAAAAATAAGACAAAAAAATGCCAAAATGAAACACAAAGCCCACAGAAAATGGAGCTCTTTTTGTGTTGGCATGGAGCCTGCCATGGAATGTGGTTGATATACCCAGTGACACTCTAATGGAGAAAACTGATGGTCCCATTTCCAGCTCGTATCAGTTCTAGATAGCTTCTTGGCTAGGGATGGGAGCCAGTGTCCAGTTTCCTGTCTTAGTGCTGGGACACTGAATCTGTGCAGGTCCTGTGCATGCTGTCATGGTCTTTGTGAGTTCATATTGTGTATCAGTATTGTTTTGTCTGGAAGACACTGTTTTCTCAGAGTCATCAGTTACCTCTGGCTCTTATGATCTTTCTGTCCCCCTTTCCGTGAAGATCCTGATTCCTGAGAAAAGAGGTCTGCTGGTGGGCTGGGGTTAGAATCCTGCAGTATGTTTTAATAACATGTATAGATTGTTTTTCTTTTTGAGACTGGGTTGATCTGTCTCTGTCCCTGTCCCTCCTGCCCAGGCTAACTTCAAACTCACTGTCCTGTTCTAGAGCGCCTTGTCCTGAATACTGGAATTGCTCCCTACATCAACCAGATAGACTTCAAATGATTTATTGTGTGTGTGTGTGGGGGGGGAGGCTGTGGGTGTGTGGACAAGCAAATGTGCATGTCTGTGCAATTGTGCCCCATTTGTGTAGGTGCCTACAGAGATTAAAAGCAGGTTTCAGATCCTATAGAGCTATAGTTACAGGCAGTTTGGGCTGCCTAATGTGGATGCTAGGAACCAAACTCAGGTCTTTTAGGAGAGCAGTCAGTATGTGCACTTAGTCTCTGAGCTGTCTCTCCAGTCTGGAGACCTTAAAGAATATAACCACATGACTGCTATCTTACCTGCTGCAGTCAACAGTTGTTTCTCAGTCCCCTCTATAGAAAACAGGCTAGATTTCTCCCAGAGAAAAGCCCCTTTACAGTGGGGTTATGAATCTGCAGTGTGCTAGGCTTTCTTTTGGGCCACCAACCAGCTACCAGATCATGACAGGGAGACTTAATATTAGTTCTGAATGCTCGACCTTATCTTATGCTTGTTTCTTGCTAGCTATTATAACTTAACCTGTTTCTCTTCATCTATGTTTTGTCTTGGGGTCCTCCCTCTCTCTCTCTTTTCCTCCCCCCCTCCTTCTTACGTTGTACTCCATCTAACTGGTTGGCAGCTGCCTGCCTGGCTGGCTGGCCTTGGGTGTCCCTCTTCCTTTATACCCCTTTCTCTCTTCCTCCTTCTCTCCCATTCTTCTCAAGCCTAGATTTCCCCTCCTATCTATTCTCTCTGCTTGCCAGCCCTGCCTATTCCTCTCTCAGGTCATTTAGCTCTTTATTATAACAATCCTTAGGCAGGCAAGGTGAGACAAATTGCAACACATCTTTACATAATTAAACAAATGCAACAGAAACAAATGAAACACACCTTTACACAGTTAAAGTAATATTCCACAGCAGAAACAAATTTAACACGTTTGCCTACTTAAAATAATATTCTACAACACTGCAGTAAACACATCCCCATACACTGCATTTGGCTGGGAAATCTCAAGTTTTGCATTTGTATTTCACTTTGTTTTGACTGGGAGGTTTCTTCCACATTATTTATTTATTTATTTTATTAGTTCAAGTTAGGGAACAAGCTTGTTTCACATGTAAGTCCCTTCTCCCTCTCTTTCCCCTCACTCCCCTCTCTCCTCCCCTATCCCCAACCTACACCCCACCCCATCCACCCACTACTCCCCAGGCAGGGTAGGGCCCTCAATGGGGGCTCTGCAGTGTCCACCAAATCTTCCTGTGCTGGGCCTGGGCCCTTCCCCATGTGTCCAGGGCCAGAGTGTAACCCTTCATGTGGGATGGGCTCTCAAAGTCCCTTCTTGCACCAGGGAAAAATACTAATCCATTACCAGAGGCTCCCTGGAGTGCAGAGGCCTCCTTATTGATATCCATGTTTAGGGGTCTAGATCAGTCTTGTACGGGCCTCCCAGACAGCATCTGGGGTCCATGTGCTCTCCCTTGTTCAGGCCAATTGTTCCTGTGGGTTTCTCCAACCTGGTACAGACTCCTTCGCTCTTCATTCCTCCCTCTCTTCAACTAAATTCCAGATTTAAGCTCAGTGTATATCTGAGGATGTCTGTCTCTGCTTCCATCAGCCACTGGATGAGGGCTCTAGGATGGCATAAAGAGAAGTCATCAATCTCATTTTAGGGGGAGG